GACGCTGGGCCCCTGCACTCCCAGCCCCACCACCACCTTCGGAGACCTGCGCAACGCCAAGGTGGGGCAGGCCCGGCGCCGCCTCTCCTCCGCCCGAGCTGCAGGACTGGCTCCGCACCTTCCAGGTACAGCTTACCTGGGGCTCCGGGCGGCTGAGCGGGGTTGGGCCCTGGGTGGGTGGATTTGTGGGAGTTCTGCTTAGGTGAGGCAGCACAGAAGGGGTGTCAGCCCTGTCCTGCTTCCCACCCCAGGCCAGGGTGGTGTCAAGTGTCATTCAGCACCTGTGACTCACTGAGCTCCCACCTGGGTGCTGGAGCTGAGTTGGGCTGGGGACATGGAGCTGCAGGGCGATGGGGGTCCGCGGGAGTGGGGGGTCCCACCTGTGTGCTGGCCCTTGGCTGGTGGTATGGAGTGGGGGATCACTGTGGGTCCCCCCACAGCGCTGGAGTGGCCCAGAGAAGCTGCTGGCCCTGGACGAGCTCATTGACCGCTGTGAACCAGCGCAGATCAAGTACATGATGCAGGTCATTGAGCCCCAGTTCCAGCGGGACTTCATCTCCCTGCTGCCGAAGGAGGTGAGCAGGGCTGTGGGGGCCTGGGTGGAGCCCCCCGGGGACCCTCTGTGACCCCTGTGCCCCCCACAGCTGGCACTGTACGTCCTGTCCTTCCTGGAGCCACGGGACCTGCTCCGCGCAGCCCAGACGTGCCGCTACTGGAGGGTCCTGGCAGAGGACAACCTGCTCTGGAGGGAGAAGTGCCGAGAGGAAGGTGAGGGCCCCCTCGGGTGGGTGCTGGGGGCCATCCTGGGGTCGGCTCAGGCACAGCACCACTGCGTTCCCCTTGCAGGGATCGAGGAGCCCCTGCACCTGCGGAAGCGACGTCTGCTCAGCCCTGGGTTCATGTACAGCCCCTGGAAGTTTGCCTTCCTGCGCCAGCACCGCATCGACATGAACTGGCGCAGCGGGGACCTGCGACCCCCCAAGGTGGGTTTGGGGCGTCTGATCAGGGATGGACCCTGGGGAGCTGTGGTCCCCCCAGAGTGCATCTGGGGGTCCCACCTGGGACAGACCTTGGGGAATTGTGGTTCCCCAAGGTGCATCTGGGTGGTCCCACTTGGGGCAGACCTCAGGGAGCTGCTACGGGGGAAGCTACAGTCCCCCAAAGTGGGTCTGAAAGTCCCCCCAGGGACGGATCCCAGGGCACTTCTGTGGGGGAAGCCGGGGTATGACGCAGAGAGTGAATCCAGCTAATTTGGAGTAGTTAGGGGTGGTGGAAGCAAGGTCTTCTGCATCTGGAGAAGGTGGGTGTCCTTCCCTGGGCCTCTGTGCTAGGCTTCGGCCAGCCCTTTCCTGCAGCACCTCCTGCCTCCCCAGTGTTCGCTGTATTTAGGGCTCCTGCAGGCTGGGAGGGTCTGCACTGCTCTGCCTCCCCCTCATCCCCGTGCTCCTGTAGGTGCTGAAGGGCCACGATGACCACGTGATCACCTGCCTGCAGTTCTGTGGGAACCGAATCGTCAGTGGCTCCGACGACAACACGCTCAAGGTGTGGTCAGCTGTTACTGGGGAGGTGAGTGTCACTGGTGCCAGGGGGCACCAGGGTGAGTACCATGCCCTGTGCTGGGCACAGGTGAGGCCACACCCTGGCTCCTGGGCTGTTTGGGCCCCTGGTGACAAGGACTGTGGAGCTGTGCAACTGCTCCTTGCTGCTGCATGTGTCAGGGAGATGGGAGAGACCCACCTGTCTCATGTCCCGCCCCCCACAGTGTGTGCAGACGCTGGTGGGCCACACTGGGGGGGTCTGGTCATCCCAGATGAGGGACAGCATCGTCATCAGCGGCTCCACGGAACGCACGCCGAAGGGACACCATCGTCATCAGCGGCTCCACGGACCGCACGCTGAAGGTGTGGAACGCAGACAGCGGTGAGTGCGTGCACACGCTGTACGGGCACACCTCCACCGTGCGCTGCATGCACCTGCACGGAAACAGGTACGGCACGGGGGCGGGGGGATCCCAGGGGAATGAGCTCGTCATCCCAGCACTCAGGCCCCAGCTGTCCCCTGGCACTCAGGGAGGTGTGGGGGAATCCTGAGGTGACGGACTCATCACCCCGGCAGCCATGCCCCAGGTGTCCTCTCACCCCCAGGGTGGTGAGTGGCTCCCGGGATGCCACGCTGCGGCTGTGGGACATCGAGACGGGGCAGTGCCTGCACGTGCTGATGGGGCACGTAGCGGCCGTGCGTTGCGTCCAGTACGACGGCAACAAGGTGGTTAGTGGCGCCTATGACTACACGGTCAAGGTGTGGGACCCCGAGAGCGAAAGCTGCACCCACACACTGCAGGGACACACCAATCGCGTCTACTCACTGCAGGTACGGCCCTGCACACCTGCCTTCCTTCCCTGTGCTCCCCTGCCCTCTCTGCTCCCTGCAGACATAGCCCCCCTCACTTGCCCTCCCAGTGCTTTCCCCCCCTTTCGTCTCCCCTGCCCTCTGCTTGGGGGGCCTGAGCTGTGCCAGAAAGGCAGAGGCTAAATCCATGCTGTGCACACTGTGCAGACGCACAGACCATGCCTGTGCCTTGTAGGGACATCATCTGCCCCTTCAACCACCCCACATGCATGTGCTGTGGGCACACACCAGCAGCACCTGTGCACCCCAAAAATCCAAGGGGGATGTGAGTCTGTGGCTGAGCTGAGGGCTCTGGGGGGTGCTGCACCCCAAACCAGGGGCTGCTGAGCTGAATACTCCCTCCTCCCCGGCAGTTTGATGGGACACACATCGTGAGTGGGTCTCTGGACACATCAATTCGTGTGTGGGACGTGGAGAGTGGGAACTGCCTGCACACGCTCATGGGGCACCAGTCACTCACCAGTGGGATGGAGCTGCGTGACAACATCCTTGTGTCCGGCAACGCCGACTCCACCGTCAAGATCTGGGACATTAAGACAGGACAGTGCCTGCAGACGCTGCAGGGTGAGGGGGCTGGGGGCGTTCCTTGCCCTCAGGGGCCTAGAGTTGGGGGCAGCTTTTCTCTCTCAGGGGTCTGGAGTGGCTCTGAGATCCCAGCTGTGGTGGGGCAGAGTGGTAGATGCCCATCAGAAGTTAGGGTCGGGTGCCTCCAACCTGCTAGCTGTGGTGGGACAGGGTTGTGGATGGCCCCAAGAAACCAAGGCTGGGTGTCCCCAGGAACAGAGTCCCTCTGAGCTGCCAGCTGTTGGGGCCAGATGTCCCCATCCCCCTGCACGAGGTGTCCTGGGCACACCTGGTGCTCACAGCTGCCTCCCCCCCAGGTCCCAGCAAGCACCAGAGCGCTGTGACCTGCCTGCAGTTCAGCTCCAAGTTTGTGGTGACCAGCTCAGACGATGGGACGGTGAAGCTGTGGGACCTGAAGACCGGGGAGTTCGTGCGGAACCTGGTGGCCCTGGAGAGTGGGGGCTCCGGGGGGGTGGTGTGGCGCATCCGC